GTTGGACACCTTTGAAAGGATGCTTCCCAGTTCCACGCTCCCCACACCCACCCTGCCTTTAGCCTTGAGCCGCCAAATGATTACGTCTCTCCCACTTTGGCAGACGACTGAGGTTTTATTTGAACCTTCGACATTCTGGTCTTTGGTACACCAAGCACAGCTGAGAATGGGGGACCTGGCAGGTAGCAATGCTGAATAGACAACAGCCATTTGGTGCATTCTGATTAAAAAGTTCCTCTCACACCCTGAATGAAGGGAGGCCAAAATGCCACCCCATTAAAAAAAAAGAGTTTCTATTAAAGTGTATCTTAAAATAATATTTAGAGACAGTTTTTGGTCACTCACATTTTGAATGTCAGTTTCCTTTTCCATTAATATTCTAATGGTATTCCCAATCATCTGCATTAGGAAAAGTTAGTGAGTGATATGATAGACATCCAGCTGGTGAGCAGGAGTCTGACGGTCACATTAGTTAACCTTCAAGCCATTATTAAGTGACTCAGTCTAATGAGCCAAGTAATCTCTTTCTGTATAAAAGTCTATTAAACAAATTACAGGGTCTTGGGAGCAACTCACCAGGCAAGGAAAAATCTCATGCAGATATGAACATTTTTCTTCAAATAATGAAAAAAAATTAGAATAAATTTAACATCAATTCGTATTTAATCTTTTTGAAGTTAAATTTCTTGACAAAAGTGGCAGTAACTTTGAAAACAAAACAGCGTTAAAACAACCACAAGGGTGACTGGATAGGCCCGCCTTTATTGCTATAGTGGGGTTCCATGTAAATCCCAAACCATTTGGTGCCTTTGTTTTTAATTATCAAAAATCACAAAATGTCAAGCAGTTCCCACTCTATCCTCACCATTCAACCATTGAGAAACACGTCAGCCTTCAAGATCCACAGTGGCTGTCATCAACTCTGAGATTCCCCTGAAGAGGGAGCTGTCACTAGGGCAAAGGACTTAAAGGCTGGAATAGAAGTTCCATGAGGGTAGAGTTTTTGCTTTTATTTTGTTCACTGACTTATTTCCAGCCTCTATAACAGAGCTGGAACACAGGAGATGCTCAGTTAGTACTGTAAAATAAACGGCTGTCCTGAAAGGTCCTTTTGGTACTCCCAAAGTTGGGAGCAACCAATGCAAAGAACATTCCAAATCTGGTACATAGCAGTGGGGTCATCAGCAAGGTTGGACCATGTTCCTACTTAAAACCAAACCCTCCTTTCTCCTTTAAGTTCAGATTTCCATAGCTCCTTATAATCTGGAACATACCCTCTCGCACAATTATGAAAAAAGAAGAGAATTTTCACTTTTCACTTCTCTAGACTGAGCCCCAATCTATCAGGATGTCACTAGAATCCACATGGAGGTGTTGGTGGGCACCGCCCAGCACTCACAGTATACCTCATCACTAGAGAGAGCAACATGACTTTCCGGCCCACATGAGGGTCACTGTAACGTTCTAATGTAGAAAGAAACACCAGTGCTTCTCACTGCAAATCTAGTAATCTTGAAGAGTGGCCTTATTTTATCTTTTTGCAAATCTTTTTAATGTCTGGAATAAGGAAGACAGCTGGATTCTCCTGTTTCTGTATTCAGTTGGTTGCACATCATGTAGTCTTTGGAAAACTCCAATGCATACTTATAAGCAAGTAATGTTTTAGCATCATTATGAAAATAGTTTTGACTCCTGAAAGAGCCTCAGGGGCCCCTGGACCACCCTTTATAACACTGTTGTAAAAGATACATACGCTAAGAGCCATAACTTTGATCAACATTCAGAAGGATTCTCAAACAAGGGAATGGAGTTTAAAAAGATGGAGAGGGGAGGGCCGGCCCTGTGGCTTGGTGGTTAAGTGCGCGCGCTGCGATGCTGGCGGCCCGGGTTCGGATCCCGGGTGCGCATCGAGGCACCACTTCTCT